ACGGGACGGGACGGGACGGCTTCCACCCAGACGAGCTCAGAACCTGCCCCTCGGGGCCGCGGAGACAGGGTCCCTGGTGATGTCCCGTCTGCTGGGAAGACCCAGCTGTCCTTGCTCTGCACTAGAAGATCTGTCTGTTCCTTGACTTGTAACATCTAATTATATGTAAAACACAGACAAAAGAACAAGAACTCCCCCATGATTGCACTTTCCAGAAATCGCCATCCCGTTGACGGTTCTGTCTGCGAATCCAGATCATTTTGGGGTCACTCATGATTTTTTAAACAAAATAACTTTTCCTAGACACAGCTTTGTAACCTAACGCATAACCAGCTTTCAGAGCAGAAGCTCAGGCCGTGGCACCTCTGGGTGGAGGAGGCGGCACCGAAACCGGCCACGCCTGCAGTTTCTTCCTGTTGTGGCCGCAGCCCCTTCTCCCCGAGATGGGCATATGCAAATGAACCCTGCAAAGGACGCAGGGGGACTCCGCAGAAAGGGGGGCAGGGCTCCGTGTGGGGCAGGGGGCTCTGCCCAGACTCAACCCCAGCGGCAGGGGGCGGGGTCAGACCCAGAACCCCGAGGCAGAGCCTCCCTGAGCCACGACTATCTGCGTGGATGAGGGTTTGGGGAGGTCGGCCACGTGGGCACAGAAGACGCAGGCAGGGCAGACAACATTTCATGTCCTCACGTGGACAGAAGGAAACGGGGACGTGACGCTCACCGAATATTCTTACAAATGACAGACTGACCCAGCAGGGAGAGACTGAGGTTCTGTTGTGTGTGACTTGGCCAACTGCTCCTTTCTGCTGGACGAGACGGCGATCTCCCCCGCGGGGCAGCCTTGGGGAGTGGCGTCATCTCCTTGTTTGAGGGTCGGGGGTGCCGGCCCAGGGGAGGTCCAGGGTGGGAAGCTGGTCCCCAAGCCCCAGTCCTGCCAATCCAATTTCAGGGAGCTTTTCGTTTAAGTAAATAAGGAAACAAATAGTGGCTGCCCTTTAAATGATTAAAAATGATGCTCTGAAAGGTATGGATTGTGAACAAAGCTCACTCTCAACCTCAGGAAAACATTTTTCTAGTAGGACAGAAACTGCCAAGGCCAGAGAGAAAGGGCTCGTCCTCCGAAACGTGTCCACTTCGACGCGTTCTGAAGTTACGCCTGTGATAGATGCTGCCCCCCAACCTCCATCTGAAAACTAGAGAAAAAGGGGAAGACAGAGGAGGACGCTCTCCCTAGACACTGGCTCAGCACCCGGTAGAGGCCCCACACACTGCAGGGCCCCAGACGCGGGGGCCACACGCAGGGAAGTGGCTTGGGGGACACAGGCCCGGCCTGTGGTGGAGCTGGGTCTGTAACCTCCTTAGTGGGAAAGAGGGAAGAAGACAGGCTGAGTTCCGCCTTGCCTTCCTCACACATTCCATTTGCAGCTTCCTGCTGAGTCAGACTGCGATATTGGGCAACAGCAAATCAAACTTGACCCAAGTGCTTCTCCCCAGGGACCGTGAGAAGGGGCCCCTGCCAGGCTGCAGACCCAGCGGCCACAGAGCACCCTGGGGCCCTTCGGAGCTCAGAGATGCAGACGTGGGCTTTTCCTTTCCACAGCGACTTTGCCAAATGAACCATCAGACCTTAAAGGTGACACTGACCTTGGAGGAAGCAGCACACTGAGGGCCGGGAGGTTCAGGGCTGGGAGACTCGCAGGGCTGGGAGACTGGGGGATGGGAGACTCGGGGCTGGGAGACTCGGGGGCCAGGAGACTCGGGGGACTGGCCCCAAAGTGGGTGCCACCATGGAGCAAAGAGCAGGCGGTGGCCAGGGCTAAACTCCCCAGCACACGGGGCAGCCCTGCCTGACACTTGCCTCTCAGGTGGATGCTGACCAGTGACTAACACGGGACCACGTTAATGCACATGCACAGACTGAGGGCTCTGACCACAGATGCTGTGTGGATTCCAGCTGCAAACTTATGAGAGAGCCAGGTTTTGGGTTCAAGTACATTTCCTGCCAACTTTTCGTATGGGGTGGGTTGATGCACACTTTGTCCTCACACTACAGGGGCAGCCCGCAGCCAGCCCGCACAGCCCTCCAAGTGGACAGGGCTGCCAGCGCCCACACTGAACGGCACCACGGTTTTACACGTGGACAGGGTTGCCAGCGCCCACACTGGCTCCGCAGCCAGCCCGCACAGCCCTCCAAGTGGACGGGGCTGCCAGCGCCCACACTGAACAGCGCCACGGTTTTACACGTGGACGGTTGCCAGCGCCACACTGAACGGGCGCCACGTTTTACACGGACGGGGTTGCCAGCGCCCATAACACTGAACAGCGCCATCGGTTTTACACGTGGACGGAAGCTGCCAGCGCCACACCACACGGCGCCATGGTTTTACACGGACGGGGCTGCCAGTGCCCATACCCGAACGGCGCCTACTGTTTACACGTGGACGGGGTTGCCAGCGCCACACTCACACGGCGGCGCCACGGTTTTACACGGGATGCTGCTGTGTGCCCACACTGAACGGCGCCAATGTTTTACACGTGACAGGGTTGCCAGCGCCACACCACACGGCGCCACGGTTTTACACACGTGGACGGGGCTGCCAGTGCCCACACTGAACGGCGCCACGGTTTTACACGTGACGGGGCTTGCCAGCGCCCACACCACACGGCGCCACGGTTTTACACGTGGACGGGGCTGCCAGCATCCATGCTGAACAGTGCCACAGTTTTACTGTCTCGGAACTGTCCCACGTGGGTTTCTCTTTCTTTGCTACCATGTTTTGTTGTGTGTGTGTCTGGGGTTTTTTTGAGACAAGGTCTTGCTCTGTGGCCCAGGCTGGAGTGCAGTGATGCAATTGTGGTTCACTGTGGCCTCAACCTCCTGGCCTCAAGCAATCCTCCCACCTCAGCCTCCCAAAGTGCCGGGATTACAGGTGTGCACCACCACACCCGGCCAGAACCATGACTTCTATTTCTAAATTCTTCTGAAATATCTGAAAGACAAGGGGCCTCCATTTCTCAACCTCACCTGAAAGAGAGGTTCCCAAACAGGTCCTCCTCCCACTAGCTCTGATTTAGCAGGTCTGAGAGGATCCCAGCCCGATAAAGACTGCCAGTAATCTCCGGGCCTCGGGCCTAAAATCCACGGGCCTCTAACAACGGACCATTTAAACACAGAACCGACTTTTATCCAGGGAAGCTCCAAAGGGGCTTCTGAAGGGCCCGGTCATGTCTCCTCCCATTTTCTTCCGAAGAACGGCCATGCCCAGTCATCGCCAGGGCAAACCCCAAGACTCTCACAAAGCCGGACTGGACGCCTGACAACGCTCCTCAGCCTGCAGTTCCTTTTGACGAGTTATTTCAAAGAACCTGGAGTGTGCACTAACACAGCACAAACGACTCTCACTCCTCAGCCTGGAGGCAGCTGCGCCGAAGCCTTTTGTGACTGACGGCGTGAGATGGTCCCAGTCCCCGAGGCAGGAGACCCCTCACAGCGTTCTAATAGGTGAAGTCACTCAGGCATCAGAATGGGTGGTTCATTCCCGCTTGGAAGTAGCCAGACGCAAGGATATAATTCTTCAGCTAAACGTGTTCTCAAAATCAGAATCGCTGTTTTGATGAGAGCACACGACCCGTGGTTCTGAACTGAACGGTGGAGTCACAGCTACGCGTCTTCCCTGATCCCCAGGCCGCTCCTTGTAACGCGGCCGCCCCACGCTTCCCCTGAGGCCGCAGCACCGAGGCCCTGCCTGGCACACTCTCTCTGGCGTCTCTCTTCCCGCCCCGACATAAACCGTGGCTTCCTGTCCCTGTGCGTCCCACCACGCACCGTGTCCTGGTGTTCAACTGCAGTGGTCCTCCGAGCACGGCCTGCGCCCCGCTGGAGCTTTTCAGAAACACACGTTCTGGTCTTGCCCTGGACGTCCCGGGGCGGCACCCGCATCCGCACATGCTCGAGTTGAGCGGCAAACTTGTTGATTTCAAGAGTTTGTTTTTCTTGGCTGACTCCTCTCTTCTTCAAATCATATCAATCAACGCTTTCTAGGCCTCGTACCTCAGTTAACACCCATCTTCTGTACACAGGAAGCAAAATCTTTCTCAGCATTTCCCCCTCTCGAAATCCTTAATTTGTATTCTTGTGGAGTGCGAGCTTCCCAGTTCATCTCTAATTAAAAAGCACTCCCGCGAGTCCCCGTGGGGGCCGCCACCGACGTGCGCTTCCTGGACAGCCCTGTGAGTCCACGCGGCGGCCGCCACCGACGTGCGCATCCTGGACAGCAGGAGCATTTAGCCAATACCAGTTCACAGCCACGCACCGCCAAGGTCAGAAGCCCAGCTGCCTGCACACCAGAGCCCCAGGGAGCACGTACTCCTCCTCAAACTAAGCAGCAGGAAAAGTGGGAAGGTGACGTACACGTTCAGGACACTGTCTACACACAGAAAAATTATCTACCCGCAGGAAAATGGGAAGGTGATGTACACGCTCAGGACATTGTCTATACAGAGAAAAATTCTCTGCCCACGGGAAAATGGGAAGGTGACGTCCATCCTTGGGACATTCTCTACCTGCGGGAACATGGGAAGGTGACGTCCACGCTCGGGACATTCTCTACCTGCGGGAAAATGGGAAGGTAGCGTCACGCTTGGGACATTCGCGGGAAAATGGGAAGGTGGCGTCCACGCTCGGGACATTCAGGGAAAATGGGAAGGTGATGTACATAGCAGGACATTGTCTACCCACAGAAAAATTCTCTACCTGGGAAAATGGGAAGGTAGCGTCCCTTTCGGGACATTCTCTACCTGCGGAAAATGGGAAAGGTGGCGTCCACGCTCGCGGGCATTCATGGGAAATGGGAGGACATTCGCGGGAAAATGGGAAGGTGACGTCCACGCTCGGGACATTATCTACCTGCGGGAACATGGGAAGGTGACGTCCACGCTCGGGATATTCTCTACACCAAAGAAAACACATCAGTGTCAAGTAAAGCAACAGAGGACCTTACCAGAGTGACTTCTCCACAATCTTGGTCCGGAACACCTCCTCCTGGTCCAGGTTCACCGTGCAGTAGCAATCCCTCATCTTGCTTGGCCCTGGGTAAGAGGGAAGGTTTTTGGCTTCACCTAAAAAGTAAAAACAACACACGCCATCAGCAGCGTGGAAACGTCTGGTCCCCGCTCATTGCAGACACGTTTCCAAACCGCAGGTTTACTTCACAGCCGCACGCCGGCCGCCGCCTGTGTGCACTCACCACTCTCTACAAAGGCTTGGTTTTTTTGCCACCGCAAGTCACAATGTGGATGCACACACCACGTGTACACACTCGGGACATTCTCTCGCCGAAAGGCAACGGACACGCCACCCTGAAATGCAAGTGGCGCAAGCAGGGACCCGCCAGCCTGGGACTCGGGATTCCTGTGTCTCACTTTGTTTTCTCCGCATTAGTCCCTTTATTTTAACATACAATTTTCCATCTCAGACCTGCTCGAGTGCACAGTTCCGTGGCATTAACCACGTTCACCGAGCTGTGCAACCATCACCAGCATCCTCTCCGGAACACTCTCATCCTGCGAAACGGAGACTCGGTCCCCGTTCAACACTCGCTCCCATCCCCTCCTGCGTCTCCAGCGGCCCTCGCCCCACGTTGTCTCTGGATCTGACTGCTCTGGGCCTCACGTCGGCAGGATCCACGGGACGTGTCCTTCCGGCTCACTCCGCTCAGCCAGTGCCCTCCAGGGTGGCCCTGCTGTGGCCGCTGACTAGATTCCCCTTCTTTTTTCAGGTTGAATAACTTTCCATCGTGCAGAGGGACCTCGTCTTGCTTATTCATTTATCCACTGAGTCCCTTTTTATTTTGAATTTTATGTTATGATATTAGGTCAAAGTTGGCGCCAGAATTAAAGGAAAGAGCTCTTTCTCGTGGACATGATTTGACTGTGAACTCCAGCTGTTTGAATTGCCAGTTAAGAGAAGCGTCCCAGAGGCACCTAAGCTGGGTCCATGTCTCCCTCCCTCAAGCCCAGAGACACCACCTGAACGCACTTGAAGGAAGTCGAGCCGGTTCCCGGCTGGCCCTGCAGAAAACGCCCGTGGTGCCGGACTCATGGCCGTGGTGCCGGACTCATGGCCGTGGTGCCGGACTCCTTGTTTGCCGGGGTCGATCTGGAGGTCATAACTGAACCCCAGCTGTGACTGCTCTGCTGGCAGCTCGGAGCACACCCCAGCGGCAAGCCTAATGGCCCAGTTTACCAGAGAATCGGGAGGGAGCCGGGAGGGATGAGTGGCAGCTGTCCATCCAGACGGCGGATGTCCAATTTAAGTCCATTCTGTAAAACAAACGTCTCAGACACACTCGCGCCTCCCCAGGGCCTTCTCCGCCTCCGTCTAAAGACGCCTGGCCATGTGTCTCGAGGGCGCAGGACGAGAGGACAGATGCAGGCACAGGCACCACGCTGAGACCACACCGAGGCTCACGTAGCTCCTGCTGGCACCACTCGGGGCCACGTCACCTTATTCTTGTTGAAAGAAAATCAAAAACGGGAGCAGAGTCGAAGTTTCTCAGATCCCCACTTCTACCCCTTCCAAAGCTTCGCGTCAACTCAGCAAGCACACACGTCATCGCCCACGTGGGCGGTCGGCTCATTTCGAAGACGCCGATTTGCGAACTGGCAGGCCAGAAACTCCAGAGGGCAGAGATAAACTCAGTTTGAAGCTTTTTAAAGACTTTCATCCACCATATTAACCTGGGGCACTGTGCGAAGGAGCAGAAGCCCCGGCGTCTGGACGAAGGCTCCCGTGTCCACACTGCGTATCCTCAGGGTCGAGGTGCCGGCAGGCGTTCCCAGCAGCACCCGCTGTTGCCCACACGGAGCGGCTCTCAGGGTCTCACTGCTTGCGGCCATTTCCCGCCAGCGCCCCCAACACACGGTCTGCCTCTGTGGGCCTGAAACTCCTGAAGTGCAAAAGCAAGTGACATGGCAGCTCTCGAAGCCTTGTCTGGCTCTGAGACGCCTCTAATTCAAAAGGTTCTGGAAATTTTTATTTGGGGAATCATTCAGGAAGCGTCAAAGATAATCGGTTGGTGGGAAAAAATAAATGAATACTTCCTGACGGGCACTGGACCCTCAGAACACCTCAACGCGGCGACTCTCCTAAGTTCCTGTGTTTCTTAAAAGGAGAAAGAAAAAAGCTTTTGAAAGTCCTGTGGGAGACGGTGTCTGTGGACAACATGGAGCTAAGATTTGTTCCCACAGGGCCTCAGATCACAGCGGTAGCAGCTGGGTCTTCCGAAGGTGGACGCTGCAGGACGGAAACGCACAGGCTTTCCCCGGACTCCCTGTAAGACAGACGCCACACGACGTGAAAAGGCCGGGTCCTCCCGCGCTGGCACCAACGCACCGGGTTCCTCCCTCCCCGCCCGACGGTGCCCAGTCCCCCGGCCCCAAAACACAGCAGGTTCCTCCCTCCCCGCCCGACGATGCCCCGTCCCCCGGCCCCAAAACACAGCAAGTTCCTCCCTCCTCGCCTGATGGCCCCGTCTTTACCTCCTTCTCCCTGCTCGCTGTCATCTGGGGCTGAGACCCTTTCTTTTTAATCTACTTTTCCTATGATGCATTTAATTAAAAAAAGAGGGGGAACAAAATGCAAACCCATTTCCCTGCCTCAGGCTTCTGATGCCATCACCTCCAGTGCGTTGGTTTTGTTTCCAACTGTTAATAAAGCATTGAAACAGAAAAAAAAATTCTGAGAAACATCCGGTTGCTATGACGACAGCAACACCAGGGAGCCTGCTGGACGCACCAACGCCCAATGAGCTGCTCAGACCAGGAGGGCTGGAGCTGCCACGGCACGGCCTGGCCACGTCACCCGGGGGTCTCCCGCGTGAGCCACGTGCAGCAAGATCGAGCCTCTCCCTGCGGCCCCACAACTGAGCAGGACGGGGCTGCCCCAGCTCCCAAGCGGCCGTTTCTTCTCCACCGCACCCCACACAGCTCACTCAGTTACCTTCACCAAAGGTGCCTGTTCTGTCTCTCTTAGAGGAAATGCGTTTTCTCTTTTTTTCTGATACACAGAGATGTTCATATAAAAAGACAAAGCTGTCTGTGGTATACAGTAAGTGCCGAATTATTTGCTGCATGCATGGATGAATAAATGAATTAAAAGAAAAGTAAACTGGTTTCATCCTAATAGCCAAATAAGTAACAGTTCTCACGAGCACTTTTCCCACGGACGGTGTCTCTAAAACATGCGGTGTGTTCACAGCCGGCAGACTGACGCAGACAGCCAACACAGCACCTCGCGTCGGCTCTGAAACCTCAGCTAACAGGAGTAAAAGGCAGCACTCAAACACATTTACTGTAAATGTAACACAGTAAACAGCACAACACCGCAAAACCGCATTTCCAACTCCAGGGATCAGGCAATCAGTAACAAAAACAAAGGCCACGATCCGAAAGCCGTCCTGACTCCCAGGCCCACAGCAGCCCTTCTGGGCCGTGGAGGGAAGCTGCACCCTCTGGGTGAGCACAGGCCCAGCCCTGACCGAGGGTTGGGATGTCCAGGCTTCCCTGGAGGCCCACCAGGGTCTCCAAGTGCTTACGGCGAGCTGTCGGGGTGGCCCGTGGCACTCGGAGCCACACCCCCGTACCCGGAGGAGCTGTGAGGGCACGGGGAGGTCTCCACAGACCCCACCCAGCGCTGCCCCTCCCCGCAGGCATCCCGAGGAGGGCCCTCAGGCGGGCTGGCCTCATGTGCTGCTCGGCACAGCACAGCAGCGGGCATCTCCCTGGCACTCAGCAGCTCAGCTCGGCGCCCAGCGAAGAGAGCAGAGGAAGGAACGAAGGCAGCCACGGGAGAGGACGAGGGCCCAGGGCTCCGCTGAGCAAAGCTCCTGGCACCGACCGCGACAGAAGACGTCCTGGAGAGGCCAGGGCTGTGCTGGGACTGGCCGCGTCCACCCAGCCCGGGCGCTCGTCTCTTTCCCGCATCATCACGGCGTTTTACTCAACTACAGGTCGGCCTCACTGAAATAACGCGGAACAGGGGACGGCCCCAGTGCACGGTCCCGCGAAAGCAACCCCGTCCCAGCAATAAAGCTCTAGGACCCGCCCAGGAAGGAGACCCTGCGGGAGGACTGGAGGAAGTACGGATCTCAAGGCTCCCAACCTCAGGCAGCCTTTTAGTCGTCCCAACGCAAAACATTCCAACGGGTCTAAAAATTTTGCTGGGCAACACAGCATCTTCTAACAACAAAGTGTTTACAGAAATGATATAGTCTTATGATTAAAATATCTGAATAAATGATGAACAGCCCCGTCTACCTCGGGCTATTTAGAAGCCTGGAACAGTGACCCCAGCCCCGGCCCCCGGGATCCTCACCCGAACAGGTTCTCCTCCAGGCCCTGGCACGGTCTTAGCGAGGCACAGAAGCCCCGGTGCCGTGTGTGGGTGCAGACCCCTCTCCGGACTCTGAGCTGCTGACTGCGAGGCCCGGTGCCCCCTGGCTGCCATTCGCCTCTGGACACGGGAGCTCCGTGACCGGCCTCTGAATGGGCCTGAGTGCCCGTCCGCACCGGCCTCCCCACCCGGCACCCTCCGTGGGACAAGGCTGCACATCTCGGCGGGCTGACTGCGGTGCAGAGGCCGTAAGAGGAAGAGGCGGTGGGACCCCGAGGCAGCGGACACAGCGTCTCGAGGACACAGCATGACCCCTGGCAACACAAGTGCCTTCCCGAAGGGCCTGCGAAGCTGCCACAAACAGGCAGCACTTGGCGAGGCCGTGGAGTGGCGTTCCCTCTGGGCTGGGTCGAGGGCAGACGGCACCTGCTCTTTCCCCCCCTCAGGAGGGGCAGAGGCGAGGCTGTGGAGTGGCGTTCCCGCTGGGCTGGGTCAAGGGCAGACGGCACCTGCTCTATCCCCGCCTCAGGAGGGGCAGAGGCCTCTGGGCTTGGATGGAGCCAGGCCCAGGTCTCGCCAGGGCTCTCCAGGGCACCATGCCCCTCCCTCAAGAGGACTCCTGTGGGTTATGAATGACAAGCCCAGGCTGCCATCCTCAAGCAAGGCAGCCCCCGATCCTCCTGGCCGGGAGGAGCCCCTGGCACCAGCGGGCTTCTGTGGGCGGTGGAAGGAGGAGACAGGGCTCTGCGGGCTGATTCCAAAACTCCCTGGGTGACACCACCTGCCCAGGGAGGGCCCGGCCCTGCCGTCCAGGGTCCGCCCCTCGTCCAGTCTCCTCGAGAGCCCTCCAGCTCCCTCCAGCCTCCGCGGCTCTTCAGAGGGCACGGGAGGTTCTGCGGAGGGCGGGCGACCAGATGTTAACCCCTCCCAAATAACGGACACATTCAATGTGATTTAAACTTCCACCACAGGGAGAATGAGTCTATGGTGACGGGGTGGCGGGAGGGGTCCTAGAAGGCGCCCACTGTGCTTACTGGGGGCCTGGCCCTGATAACAGCTGAAACGGGGTCTCTCTCAGGGCCCACTTCCAGAGGGCACGTTTGGTTGTCACTAAGGGTGGTGCCACTGGCATCTGGTGGGCAGAGTGCAGGGTGCTTGCCGTTCAGTGTCCCGCTGCCCACGGTGCCCCAGGGCACAGGGCCGTCCACCCAAGACACCAACAGCTCCCCACGGCACAGGGCCGTCCACCGAAACACCAACAGTTCCCCACGGCACAGGGCTGTCCACTCAAAACACCAATAGTGCCCACGGCACAGGGCCGTCCACCCAAACACCAACAGTTCCCCACGGCACAGGGCTGTCCACCCAAAACACCAATAGTGCCCACGGCACAGGGTCGTCCACCCAGAATGCAACAGTGCCCCAGTTACACGCTCCTGGTACAAATGACCCTCCTCTCGTGCTTGGTGCAAAGGCTGTTAGCAACGGGCCACAGAGGAGATGCTGCCACATCACGCCAGAGACTCACGCATCCCGAGACCTAAACATCTAGGAGGAGACCTGGCCTTGGAGCCAGGTCAGCCAGAAGGTCGTCCAGGCCTGGCCTCCCTGGGGCTGCCCGATCTCCCGATGCAGTGTAACCCTCGAGGCACGGGGGCTGCATCACCCAGCACTCTGGAAATGCTGTGCACAGACCACGGCCACCAGCACATGCATTCTCGTAGTTCCGACTGCCTGTGAATCCAGCTGGTCTACCATGAGCCGCTGGGGAAAATACTCCAAGTCCTGAGATGAATGGAGCAGGAGCGCCTCCGGAATATCCTGAGAAACACGACTCCAAACCCTGTCAGCTGGTTCTAATGGTGCTCACTCTTATAAACGGGTAATAAAATACGGGAAAGAACGTGATTGCAGACAGGGGACCTCGCCTCCACAGAGGGGCATCCCCCAGGAGGCTGAGGCAAATCCTACAGGTTCAAAACCAAAGTTTCACTGGCGGCTGAAAACACCCAGGAAATAATGAGGAAACAGAGAAAGCAAAGGCGGGCGGAGACGAAGCCGCCCTTCTGAGTTCACAAAGGAGCGGAGACACACCAATGCCACACAGGAACCCTCAGGCCCCCCAGGTTCCTGGCACAGCAGAGCCTGGCCCGCATCCAGACGGCGTCTCCTGAGGCTGTGACTCCCCTCCTGCGAGTTCACACACAGGACCCCTCACCCACACCGGCTGCACACACAGTACCTCACACCCACACCCACACCGGCTACACAACAGGACCTCACACCCACACCCACACCGGCTGCACACACAGGACCTCACACCCACACCCACACCCACACCGGCTACACACACAGGACCCCTCACCCACACTCACCAGCTGCACACACAGGACCTCACACCCACACCGGCTGCACACACAGGAGAGCTTCTCACAGGGCAATGCCCGGACCCCCACCCAGAGATTGCCATTCTTGGACTGCGAGCATTCCTGGATGCGTCCCACCTGTCACGCCGAATGGTCTTTCTAATGTGTCGCTGGCATCTGCTTGCTGGTGTCTTGCTGAGGACTTTTGTGTCTGTGTTCATCAGGGACATTGGCCGGTAGTTTTTTGTGTTGTGTCCTGGTCTGGTTTGGGTGTCAGGTAATACTAACCTCATTGCTTGAGTTTGGAAGTGTCCCCTTCTCTCTATGTGTTTGGATTAGTTTGAGTATAATTTGTATCCGTTCTTGAAATGTCTGAACAAATTCAGCAGTGAATCCGTCAGGGCCTGGGCTTTTCTTCGCTGGGAGATTTTTTGTTCTGATTTCTACTTCAGTACTTATTGGTCTGTTCAGGTACTGCTTCTTTACGGCTCCATCTTGGTAGGTTGTATGTGTCCAGGACTTTATAAAATTTCTCTAGGTTTTCTAATGTGTTGGTATACAGTTGTTCATAATA